AAATTACATAAAAAATGAAAACTTTTAAACAGTTGATTTGACATTAACATTGATATATATTTTTTAAAAATGTTATGATATCTTCAAATTTATATTTTATTCAAAAATAAAATCATTATTGCTTTTTTTAAAAACACATAATCTCGACTGAGATAAAGAATAAAATGAAATATTAAAATCATGATGTATCTCGTTGCATTGCGCGAGTACGCTTCTAATTTAAAACTAAAATGACCACCCTAGTCTTTTTAAATCTTAAATATTTAAATATAATTAAAATTGAAATTAAACAAATTATATTAAAATACAAGTATTTTATACTCTTTAATTTGACACTTGTACTGTAACATTTTTCCATTTCTTTTTATGCAGTTTTGAGATTTTTACTATGCAATTTCATAGCTTAACATGTGAAACTGTATTATAAATAAGTATAAAATCGATAAAAAAATCAAAACCAACAATCACAGATCCTACAAATTTTCCACTTATAAACTGGATTCATATCAAAATAATTGGATCAAAATGTATAACGAAAACTTATTAAAAATTATAGAACTTGTTAATACAACTTCGTAGGGAGTTCCATATCTGAAGTGAAGTTTCGTATGAAGCTTTAACATGTGAAAATTGTATATGTAAATTGATAAAAGAATAAAGTCTGCAACTTCATATAAATCTTCGCGTGAAGCTCGATATGGTAGAAAAGAAAAACGCTCTAAGAGTAATTAAAATTGGAGTCAAAAATGAGCTTTTTAAAAGAAATGACAATCATATTGTTACATTTATTTTTCATCCATTTTCCCCATTGGGATTTATTTTTCATTATAACAGAAGCCAGTTGGGTTTTGCCATTCCATCATAAGAGTGTGCAAAAAGTCATCTGATCCAATTAGAAACCATCTACCATAATTGGATATTATATTGTAATTAGATAAGATCAGATCCACAATTTGTAACATCTGGATTTTTCTATAAGTGAAATCCAAAGTTTTATGTGTGTTTTCATCCCTAGAATAGGTTTATTAAGGGGCTGTTTGTTTTTAATAAAAAAGCTCTTAATGTCCTCTTAAGTCTGAATCGGTCAAACATAAGAGGATTCAGTGTGTTTGTTTTTTTTTCAATTAAGAGCTTAAAAGCTCTTATTAAGTCTGAAAATTTAAGTGGTTGAGAAACCTCTTATTACCTCTTATTTCAAATCGTCGCCTACCTACTCTGATCTCTTTACGCTCGATTTCTCTGGATCAACTCTTCTGTCTCGATCTCTCATCTCTCAACTCTGTCAACTGTCGATCCATATCAACTCTCAATCTCTCATCTTCAAACTTCAAATTTCAGATGCAAAAAACAAACAGTCTGATTGATTCAGATTTCAGACTTCAGCACCATCTCTTAAAAATCAGAAGTGAATTCAGACTTCAGACTTTAGCACCTCTTAAAAAACAAACGCCACCTAAGTATTTTGAAGTTTGGTTATACTTTGAGTATGGAAATAGGAACCGAAGAATCAATGAATGAAATTTCAACACTTCCCGACCATGAAAAAAGATCTCCCCAGGAGTGAAAGTTGGACAAATTTTGGAGTTGGAAAGAAGGAAGGCTGCATAAGACAAAAATCCATACAAAACCCGATTTTTCTCTTATTCTTTCCCATTTGCTCATCTCCTAACTCATTTCCCTCTCAATCAAACTTGGTCGAAGCATCTCCATTTCAACCAATCGATTTCTTCAAGAGTTTTGGTGAGATCAAGAGGTAGGGATTATGATTAAAGCTTCACACCATCTATTTTGAAGTTTGGACCAATTTTGGGTATTTTGAGTGATTAGAGGATCTAAGTAAGTTTGTTATGAATATGAGTTTGGGGTTAATTTCGGTATATCTCTAGACTTCGGTTGTGATCCTGATAAAGTTTCAAGAGGTGGGTGTGGATGTATATAAAACCTTCATCATTTTGAAAGCTATAGACCGGTTTGAAACCTAGGTGAGTTCAAGTTGCTTTGTAAAAACTTTATACATGCCAAAAATGTTTATTTTGGAGTCTTAAAGTGCTTACCTTGATATTTATCACATATGTTAATTATTTGACGAAGTCTGCGTATATGGTACTTTTGGTTTAACAAATCTTGAACAATGCATATATTTGGGCATTTTGATACATAAATCATAAGAGTGTTCTTTTGATGATTTATTCCTCATATATGAATATGATCATTTGATGTTAACACACTCTTGCTATTTTGATTTTTATAAATCATTCGAAAAATAGATATGCTTGAGTTGTTGGGCACATTTCGGGTGCCATTACTTATTTGGAAATGCTTTCTTGAAGTTATGCTGTGTGTTTTGGGAATTTGCCCACCATTTGAATTGATATTTAAATATATTTATATCATTGGGCATAAGTTGTATAAACTTTGGGTAATTGTATTTTATTAGTTTATACAGACGTCTATTGAATAGTTAATTGAATTGTTGAGTTATTGGCTCAATTTTAACTTGGATGAGTCTTGACGACATTTGTCCAATTTTATTTGCTCTATGTTGAGCTTGGGACAAGCATTTCTTGCATTTTGTTATTTTAGAACTACATGTTTTGAATGCGTTGGTCATTCATTTAGAGTCATGTAATTTAGACTATAATATATTGGATCCATAGGCATATGTGTCAGTCATGTTTTGCCAAGCGAGAAGTTTTGATGTTCTCGTCTTGGAGCCATAAGGTTTAGCCAAGTGAGGAGTTTTGATGTTCTCAGCTTGAGCCCATTTTGGTTTGTAACATGAGAGAAGTTTTGAGGCTCTCTTCTTGATATCAATGGTTTGGGACAAAGTGAGGAGTTTTGATGTTCTCGCTTTAGAGCATTTGATTTAGGCAAGTAAGGAGTTTTGATTTTCTCATTTTGTAACTTGGAGACTGACTAAGTAAGGAGCTTTGATGTTCTTATCTTAGCCCCAATAAGAGTAATTACCAAGGCTTGTATGCTGGGGGTGATTTACTCGTCAACATCTCGATGTGGCTTATTTAGTGTTCCACCACTTGATGGATACAGGTTTCCCTCGTCACTAAAAGGTGTTATTTTTGGATAGTGTATTATCCATGTTTTCGATGTTATTTTGGGTACATAGTGTATGCCCACTTTATAGTGTTGGTATCTTGGAATTTATCCACATTGAACATTTTTCATGTTCTTTAAATGTCGTGGAAAATAGAGCTTTATCCATGTTTTCGGTATTTGGGTATAAATCCTTCTGCATTTTGTGTGAGTATTTGGGTTTTAGTTTCATGTTTTATGGGTATTTCGATTAGTTAGTTTTCATCACAAAAATGATGGTTTTTGGGAAAGATATAACTTTTATTCTAAATATATTTCATCTTGGAAATTGGTTTTAAATAACAATCTTTCCGTTTTACCGTTTTATATAAATGATGAAAAATGCTTGAACTCACTAGACGTTAAGCCTAACTTTTTTTCTTCGTCGGCATATGCTTCAGGTCCTTGGGAAAATGGTACTAGCGACACTTTGGCGTGATGAGTACTAGTTAGAGGCACGAGAAGGAATTAGCTATCCCGGATACATCTTTCGTATGGTGGGTTAGCGTATGACATTGTAACACCCGTCCCTTATTATAGATTTGTGTAAAGGTACTTAGATTGCCATTATAGCTGATCAAATGTCGAATTTGAAATAAGGACTAAATCCTTAATTGATGCATTATAGAAAATTTCAATTAGACGTTGTTTTCCCAAATTTAATGGTGTTACACAATTTGAACATCTTAGTTGGATCGAACGGTTCTTGGATGACAACACAAAATCCTATAAGACCAAACCGATGGCATGGCCTGGGACACCATTCGAAAAAAATAAATAAACTGATCCAATTCAATTATCATCCAACTACCATCCTTACAGGGGTGTTTGGGATTGCTTATTTGAAACAAATTATGTTTTTCTACAAAAGCACTTATCAACTTATTATAAGTCAGAAAAGTTTAACTTTTTCAAAAACTTCTTATTACCTGTTTGACATCGATGTAAGTTGTTTATCCAAACACTCAAAAGTGCTTATACCGGTATCACACCGGAATAAGTCAATAAGTTGTTTTTATAAGCAATCTCAAACACCGCTGTAATGTCTTTTAAGCCATTAAAAATATATATGAAAAAGCTGGTTGAAATCGTGGATTAATTGGTTGAAAATTAGATTTTTGATGGATTTAATCTGATCTAATGGATAAACAATAATAATATCAAATGAATGAAACAAATCCAATCATCCATTGAGTTTCAACAGATGAACACTCCTAAAAATACCTTCCCTTTTTGGAAGGTAAGCCCATTTCGACAAAAAAAATAAATAAATTAAATTCAGTATGGATTTAATCTGATCTAATGGATAAACAATAATAATATCAAATGAATGAAACAAATCCAATCATCCATTGAGTTTCAACAAATGAACACTCCTAAAAATACCTTCCCTTTTTGGAAGGTAAGCCCATTTCGACAAAATACATAAATAAATAAATTAAATTCAGTATGTTGTATAGACTTTTGTTTAAACACTTCTTCATAGACTTCGTTTTACAAAAAACCTCAAATAAATGGACAACTAACATGTTCAATTAAGGGGCCGTTTACCTAAATACTTACCTGGTAAGTGCTTACTGGTAGGAGTCAATACTATAATCTATTTTACCAGATAAGATTGTAGTATATTAAAACGGTATCGTATGCAACAATTTACCCGGTAAACGCTCACCCGGGTAAGAGTCCTTACCATCACTTACTGGGTAAGACTCTCTATCCCTATCATCGCTCTTACCGGGTAAGATTTTCAGCCTTTACCATATGCAACATGTGAGGAAAGTTACCCGATCCACACTTACCGGGTAAGTATTTAGTAAACGGCCCCTAAGTATATAAATAGTTAACAGTGGAATGAAGAATATGGAAATAATAACGATTAATAAAAAGATAATATATATTATACAGATGATGCAACCAATCACCTGATTTTCTGCTTATTCAACGTTCTATTTGATTCCATCATCAATCGACATACAACAGAGGTAACTTATTAGAGAAACTATGGTTTATCTAGTTGCTACAGCCAGAGTATGAATTTTGGCTGTTTTTTTTGTGTGCTTATAGTTACGGTAATGCAAAAAAGCTGTCAGTGATTTTAGTGTCATCAATCATTTGGTTTAATTGTGATTTACACGAGACGAATAGGTTTTAGTTAAGCTATAATACAATTAGGAAGTGTGGAGAACGCTTGTATAAGCTAACTTAAACCTGAATTACCATAAAATGGAGGTCAACGGAGTCATGCCCCCTTGCAGAATCAAGGGAGCGCTCTTGCAGTATACATTAAGAGATGATATTTAAGTTATTTAGAAGGAAAAAAATATTCTGAAAGCCACCTGATGTTCAAAAGGGAGCTGATGTTCAGAAGGCTAACTTCTGATCTGACTCAAATGCAATGTGGAGCAACTATAATAACTGTCAGTTAATTTTTAATTTAAGAAGTTTCAGTCTCAATATAGAATACCCACCATTCGTTAGCAGCGACCTTACCACGCTTACCACCAGCCATTTCACTCGAATCTGTAGTTAGCAGTATCCTTTGCAATAACATAATCCACATGTGTTTTCACTCTCGTTTTTGCCTAAAAACATGAGTGTGAATTGAATTGTCATAAGCCAAATTTCATGAAAACCAAAGGTTGTGAAAGGTGTTAAATATTAACTTATGGAAAGTGTTCCATGCACGCTCCATTATTCTATGCGAGTCTCTCGATTGATACATCACTCAAACCAAAATTTCTAACAAGAGCAACGCTGATACGTTCATTTCTTTTTTTTGTGCATACTTAGTCGTCAATACTTGTTACTCAACATCACATATTGTGGTAACGTATTCAGGAAGACCATACATGAACACTTCAATGCGGTTGGATTGATGGTTAGGACAAAAGAATCGCCTTCACACTATCGAGCATAAAAAAAAGTCTCATATCTTTCAATGGCCATGATTAGGGTCGGATTAGAGCTCGAAGAGCACAATTATGGCACGAAAGAACCAGTTGAATGAATCAGAGTTCATGAACACGAATTTCGAGGATTTTTAGAATATCAAGTTAAACGGTATTGTAGATCGGGAAATATGCATATAGCTGTTGCTTTTGCAAATCTCTTGCCACATGATTTCAAGTTTGCACTCGATTACTGGTACTGATTTTCCATTATCCATAGATGCTCGAATCAAGAAAGAGGGTATATATGTAATTTAAAAAAATTAAGCATACTTTTCAAATGTTGTCAATAGTTTTTCATAAATTTGCGATTGCATTATGCATAAATAAAAGAGAGAAAGGAAAAAGTTGGATGTTTGAGATTGTTTATTTGAAACAACTTATGTTATTTTATAAAAGTACTTATCAACTTATTACAAGTTAGAAGGGTTTAACTTATTCAAAAACTTTTTATTACCGATTTGACATCAGTATAAATTGTTTATCTAAACATCCAAAAATATTTATTACCGGTACCACACTGAAATAAGTCAATAAGTTATAAAACACGTCCAAAACGCCTATGAATGTAGAAAAGGAAAGAAGAAGGTTGTTGAATATGCAGAAGGGGAAATAATATAAAGCATAAAAAAACGATGATTCATTCAGTAGCTTCTTTTAGTTGAGCGACTGAATCGGAATCGCCTTCACCATCCATCCACCTTCTTCCAATGGTATTCGCTTAGATTCTACTTCAAGAACCCTAGGTATTTTCACTCTCTTTTCTTCGTTTCAATTTACAGGAAACAAGAAAAACAGCATTGTTCAAGCATTCTGCCATACATTATAATCTCGTTTTTCTTAATAATTCCATGTTTAGGGTTTATATTCAACAACTTTCTTATGCTTTTGAACATTTGAACAAGTTCAAAACATTGCGCCATGGCTTATTCATCTCTTTTCGTTTAATTTTAAAAATGCCCTCTTTTCTTTTCAAAGTTTTCGTTTTCGCCTCCCAAACTTTTTAAATTTTCAACTTTTTGTCTTTTAAATCAAAATTATATTTTTGATGTTTAAGAATGCTTCCTACACTGGTTCGGAGATACGTACTTTGCCCGATTGGTTCACTTTCTTGATTGTAACTTGCAGAGAATGATTTGGGGCAGATTGATCTGTAACAAGTGAAATTATAGTAAGGATCAATAAAGGAGATAGATTCAGTGGTTGAGAATATGTAGTAGCAAGTTAAGGAATAATTGCCATAAACTGAAATCAGTTTCCTAAAGAAATTTCATTAGTACCCTTACATTCCTGTAACTTGTATATACTTTGACAGCTCCTGAGACCATCATCCTGTCACTTGTATGGAGTTTTGTATAGCATGAATGAGATGTTGTGCCTTTTGCAACTGCTGGCTTTGTAGACTGTAGATGAACAAATCCCGGTTTACTCTCAACTTCCATTATTATCTTACTATCTTAGTGGAGAAAACGGAACTAATTCAGGGTACTTAGGTATTGAGAACTATAAGTATATGTCTGGTGTAACCTAGTTTTCTTTTAATTCAGGGTATTTAGGTATTAAGAACTTCAATATTATGCTTTTTGTTCAATACTTCAAAGTTATTTTTAAAAGTTTGCTTAATGGAATCTCCTTTTTTTTTTTCTTTCAAAACTCTCCTTCCTTTTTCACCTCATATGATCTAAGTCTCTAATGATGCAGTCCATACTGCTTTATTGTGCACCTTTGCTTTTGGTTTTGATAATCTTTTTGCCTCCCAAATCTCTGAACGTTCAATTGGTTATCGAGTTCTTTTAGATTTGGCTCAACTTAACATTCAACAATGTGGGCTGCCGGTGAAGCTAACCCTGCTAAATTTATTGGTAGAGGCTATGTCGAGTTTATTATTATTATTATTATGATTATTTATTACTTGTAACAAATAATATTTGCAAAGTGAACAATATCCAATGAGCAAGTGTACACCCAAGGATAAATTGATTCCTTGCGGTAGGAGTTGAAAGTTAAACTTCTTTCTGATTGATCAATGCAGGTCAAGCAACTCTCTTTGGCAGAGGAGTTGTAATTTTGTTTTGTTGATTTGCACTGCATCTCGTGATGTCGACGAAGAAAATTATAGCTATATGTCAGTCAGGTGGCGAGTTTCAAACTGAAAACGATGGTTCTATGTCCTACAGTGGTGGGGAGGCCTATGCTGTTGATCTTGATACAGAGACGCAAGTAATTGATTTCAAGCAGGACTTGGCCGAGACATTTGGATATAGTGTTGACAACATGTTGATCAAATACTTCCTCCCTGGAAACAGAAAAACTCTTATCATGATATCAAAAGACAAAGACCTTAAGCGCATGATTAACTTTTTTTCCGATGCTGATCAAGTGGATGTCTTCGTCATGCCACAAGAAGGTAGTAGGGCAGCTCCAAATGTCTCAAACACGCCTGCTAGTAGGTACTTTAACTGTCCTTTGCTGATTTCTTTCATTCTCAATCTGTTTCTGAAAGCCTCGTTCATTTCTCTCTTAGTATCAGAGCTTGAGGTTTTCTGGAAATCCATTTAGGTTCTTTAGATCCTCAATTTCATATAATGTGTTTAGGCTGCTTCTTGTTTTTGAAGTTCTTTAAATACCAGGATTCTGTTAATTAGTACGCCAATTTTGAGAAATACAGTAACTCCAAATATTTTTTGGAGTTTTTGAAAAACAGGATTGTTTTGTTTAGGGGCTGTTTGGCGGTTGCTGAATGATTTAGTGCAGAATAGTTAAGAGGTCAGAATGGTTGAGAGAGTCATAATGGTTAAGTGCTGAATGAAATAATGTTGTTTGGTAACTGTTCTCTGAATGACAATAAATTACCATTTTAACCCTCTCTAACAAAAACCCATTATTCCATTTTAACTTTTCCACCCCTATCTTCCAGCCGCTCTTCTTCACGATCTCCATCGCCTTCCCACGTTTGCTTCCACGATGATCTCCATCGTTCCTTCTCCATCGTTGGTCGTTGCTTGGTCATCGTCGCTGTGGTATTTCCCTCAATCGTATCTCAATCGATCCCTCAATCGTTGCTTGGTCTGCTTCCACGATCTCCATCGTTCCCTCAATCGATCTCCTCTCAAAGTTCCCTCTGTGAAGAATGGTCAGAATCGATCCCTAAATCGTTGCTTGGTCTGCTTCCACGATCTCCATCGTTCCCTCAATCGATCTCCTCTCAAAGTTCCCTCTGTGAAGACCGGCGACGAGAGGGTGGGGGAGGGGCTGTGAAGACCGGCGATGTGTTACCTTCACCGTTAGGGCTCAATCGAGATGGAGAAACAGCAGGGGCGAAAACAGAGATGTTAGGGTTTTGCTATTCGATCCTTTTTCCTCCCCTTTTTCGATCGATAGGGTTTGCAACTCGATGGCGAGGTGACCGGCAACAACCGGCGAAGCTGCGATGGCGACCGGCGATGGCGATGGCGACCGGCGATGGTGACCGGCGATGGCGACCTGCGTGAAGAGACGAGATGGGAAGAAGGGGTGGGAAGGGTAAACTTGGAAAAATAGATGTCTGAATGGTTTAGTGGTATCCTAGATGCAAAATGGTTAAGAGGGGGATTGTAACCATTAAGAGGCATTTTTTTTTTGCCAAACAACCTCAACCTCTGACCGATTAAGAGGTTGGCTCTTAATGTCACCATTAAGAGCCAAACAAACAGCCCCTTAGTATCTCCAAACAGCAAATTTTCAGAAGTAGCATAGTTGGGATATTTAAGAGTAATTATACTTAATGCTTAGATTAGCTTGAAAAATCCTAATTGCTTATTTGGAAAACAGCCCACAACTCGTGTTTGAGTCTCAAATTGAGGGGGAATGGTACAGCTCATTTTTATTTGAGGACATTGCACACTATTTTCTTGTATCAAACATTGCATTGAAAACATAAATCAGATAGGCCACTTATGGACACAATATGTGAGGCTAAGTGTAGCTAATTTTTCATTTGCTCGGGTTGTGACGCCTTATACTGTGATGGAACTCTAATTACAGATCGAGCAGGACAACGGTTTCTGAAGCAGTTGTACTTGCATCTAGTCCTGTTGGAACAAGCCATGTAGACAACCACCCTAATATAAACGAAACAAATTCCTTTGATATGGTTATAGTGAATGCAATGTCACCGTTGGCATTTGCTCTTGGTTCAAATTGGGAAAAGCAACATAAAGCTGCTACACAGTGGGAGAACACAATCACTGGTGTTGAGCAGAGATTTTCTAGTTTTGCTGAGTTCCGTGAAGCTCTCCATAAATTCTCAATTGCCCATGGTTTTCGTTACAAGTATAAGAAGAGTGATAGTCACCGTGTTAGTGTCAAATGTAAGTCAGAAGGTTGTCCGTGGCGCATATATGTTTCAAGGTTACCCACTACCCACTTGATACGCATCAAGAAAATGAATCCAGAGCATACATGTAATGGAGTTGCTGCAAAAGCTGGTTATCGTGCAACAAAGGGATGGGTAGGTAATATTATAAAGGAGAAGTTAAGGGTTTCACCAAACTACAGGCCCAAGGATATCGTTGCTGACATAAAACGAGAGTATGGAGTTCAGTTGAATTATTCCCAGGCATGGCGTGCAAAAGGAATTGCCAAGGAGCAACTTCAAGGTTCATACAAGGAAGCTTACTCTCAGTTACCTTTCTTCTGCGAGAAAATAATGGAAACTAATCCAGGTAGTTTAGCTACATTTGCTACAAAGGAGGATTCAAGCTTCCATCGTTTCTTTGTCTCATTCCATGCCTCTATTTCCGGTTTTCAACAAGGCTGTCGTCCTTTGCTTTTTTTAGATGACATTCCTCTAGATGCTAAGTACCAAGGGACCTTATTAATAGCCACCGCTGCAGATGGAGATGATGGTGTTTTTCCATTGGCTTTTGCGGTGGTTGATGATGAGACTGATGATGACAATTGGTTTTGGTTCTTATCCCAATTGAAAGCTGCTGCCCCAATATCTCAGCCTATAACCTTTGTTGCAAATTTTAACACGGGACTAAAAGACTCCATAGTCAATGTTTTTGGCGGAGAGTGCTTTCATGCTTATTGTCTACGGTATATTGCTGAGAAACTCAACAATGATTTGAAGGGGAGGTTTTCACATGAAGCCAGACGTCTCATGGTTCAAGACCTCTATGCTGCTGCCTATGCACCAAAGCTTGAGTCTTTCGAACAGTGTGCTCAAGATATAAAAGCTATTTCACCTGAAGCATATAATTGGGTACTCAACAGTGAGCCACAACACTGGGCAAATGTGTTCTTTGATGGAACAAGATATAATCATATGACATCTAATTTTGGACAGCTGTTCTATAGCTGGGTATCAGATGCAGTTGAGCTGCCCATAACTCACATGATTGATGTATTGAGAGGTAAGTTGATGGAATTGATATACACAAGGCGGGTTGATTCTAACAGATGGACTACAACGTTGACACCGTCTATGGAGGAGAAGCTTAAAAGTGAGGCTTCAAAAGCTCAATCATTTCAAGTGTTGCCATCACAAAGTAGCATATTTGAGGTTCATGGTGAATCTGTTGAGATGGTTGACATCAGTCAATGGGATTGTAGCTGCAAGGGCTGGCAACTTACTGGACTGCCATGCTGCCATGCCGTAGCTGTTTTTGAGTGCATCGGTAGGAGCCCATATGATTATTGCTCCAGATACTTCATGGCTGAGAGCTACCGAAAAACATATGCAGAGTCAATTTACCCAATACCTGATGTTGAGCGTTCATTAGATGGTGAGGACATAGCAATTATTGTTACACCTCCTCCTGCTAAACGACCTCCAGGGAAGCCAGGCAGGCGAGCGAAGTTAAAGCAGGCTGGATCCCTGGAGCTAATTAGAAGGCAAATGCAGTGTAGCAAATGCAAAGGGTTGGGTCACAACAAAAAGACATGCAAGTAAGTTCTCTATCTGATTTATTTGATTCTTTTTTTCAATTTGCTGGTTATGTGTTTTTGGATGTCCTTTTTGTTTCTATTTATCTTCTTCAGAAATTGGCTTTTCACAATACATTTTTGTGCCAGATTCATGTGTCAGATTGGGAAAATGTTTCCTTCATGTGTGTGGTTAGCTTTGGTAGAGCTACATTTGAAAATTAGTGTTATGATAGCTTAAGAAAATCCAACCATGAAGGGCCTTGGTCTTGTAAGCATGCTTGTGAAGTAATGTCTATTGCCATCCCATAATAAATGCCCTCTTTGCAGTCCATGACAATTGTTCCTTTTGTTTTTTTTGTAATTTCCCTCTGTTTCAAAATATCACAACACTTCCCGATTTTTCCTTCTTCCAACTTAATGAGCAGCATGTGCTTTGTTGGTGCAAAATAGATTGTAAACCTATATAAACCCTTAGTTAAGATATATATACATGAGCTCTGTAAATAATTTGTTATACCAAATCTTAAGCATGCATGCTGTTATGATTAATTTTTCTAAATTTTGCAAACTCTTTGATAACTCTAAGATATGCTCTTTAATCTCTATGTTTTTTCATGCCACAACTATAATAAAATTCATTAGATAGAGTCGACCTAAACAGTTTAGTGAAATAAGAGGAGGGAGAAGACAAAGGGAGAGAGAGGAGTGTGTTCACTTGAGCATTTTGTTGAAAAACAGTTTATTCTTTAAACGGATGAGACATGATTTTTTTAACCGGATGAGGCATGATTTCTTTAACCGGATAAGGCATGATTTCTTTAACCTGATGAGGCATGATTTTGTGTAGTGGCAAACATATGTTTTTCTTTGTATTAGTTGGACCAAGGGTGCATTAGCGTAGCTGTAGCAGACGGTGTGGTTGCAATTAAAGGCTTGCAGCAACCTCAGCTCTTGGGGCTTAATTACAGCTAATTGCATTTCACCTGACCAACTAAAGGAAATCTTGGGTCCTCATTTCTCAGATGCATAAATACCTGGCTATACTAGAAAAATGCGTGGTTGAGTTTTCTTTTTCAATACTACAGCATTATTGCCCTTTGAAACTGCCTGCCTTTGTTGGCTAGCCTATCTTTTAACTGACCTAGAAATTAACAGAACTCCCCTTTATATTATAACTAAGGTGGAACCTCATCCTCTTGTCTTCTGAATCACTCTGTTTTCTCAAACGAGGACTTCGCGACCTCTGTCAGTGGAAAGTCCTAATCCTTTATTTCTATTTTTTGGGGAAACTTTTAATGCTAAGGTGTATGAGTAGAATGAGGAACACCTATTAGCTACATTTCTCTCTCTCTTCCTTTTCCTCTTTGAATAGTTTTTGCCATATCCATGGAACAATCGGTAAGGTTTTCCTCCCTTGTGACGTGTGCAACAATGCAAAGCAATGCTTGCAAATCCCAGAAGCTTTGATGCATGTGTGTCATCCTAGTTATTAAAGTGCATCCAACCTTCATTAGCTTACTTGTGATGACCAGAAATGAAACAGTCTGCGAGTATGTGTTGGCAATTTGAAAGTGTTATTGTGATAGAAAAGATGTATATTGTATTTGCAGTCTAACATGTAAATGCACTGTTCTTGTGTTGGACAGAGAGGGGGAAACGATTGAAGCATCATCAACTCCCAAAGCCTTGCAAATATAGTTGGGATGAAGGAACATTCTTTTTAACCCTCGATTGAATGGTGCTTCTCATTTCTGAGTTCATGAGAATTTTTTGCTTTCACAATCAAAGCAGTAGTAGGTTTCTTGTGCATAAGGAAGGGTATGTATGGCCAAAGCAAGCAATAGCTGGTTAGTTGTTTTTTCTTCAAAATTTCGGAAATTAATTTTGACCTTGTGTCTCCATCCCTTACTCTAACAAAGACTGCTTTACTTGTTAAAAATACACTTGGAGTTGTTACTTGAGCCATAGGAAAATCCTCCCTGTGACTTGGGTTGAATGACATACTAGGGAGAAATTAAAAGGAGTGTGGGATGAACTCAAACACCAAATATGTAGTAAAAAGCTCATTCAAATTAATAAAAGATTTGGGTGAAGATATGGGTTTAATGGTTGGTGGTTCATAAAGTAGTACCAATTCCAAAGGTCAAAAGTACAAGGAGGTCTCAGGTTCAAATCCAAGGAGGAATAAAAATCCCCTTGTGGCCACGGAGGTTCAAATGCGGTGACTCCGGGCTATCTGCAAAGCAGGTGGTCGCCTGGGATTAGTCGGCTCGCATAGCGGGTTGGATATCCAGGTTAATCAAAAAAAAAAAGTAGTACCCATTCCTCTTTTTCCACTTCCATCCATATGGCTTTCTTTCTATGTGTTTACTCAACTCTTATGTTAGTTAGTTGTCCTGTTTATTGCTAATTGTCCATGATACAAATAAAATGCAATGTTATATAAGAAAATGCAGCAGCATCTGTTGAGCTCCTCGTGTGTAGTGTAAAGAAGACCATTTCCTTCAACGGAGAAGAGGTAAACTGGCGAATAATGTAATTTGGTTTGTTGTAGATAGATCCTTTAATACTTGTTCTTCATCTAGGTGAACGACATACATTCCAACCTCGGCAAGGATGGTGTTAAAGAACGTGCTTCCGTTGACAAAGGGAAATTCTTCAACCAAGATCAAAAACCTATCATGTCGGAAAAACCAGCAGAAATCAACCTCCTCCACCAGAAAGCCTGAAGACTGTTGCATATCAACATCATATTTTCCTATAAGAAAGATAAGTTTTTAACAATTCAGTGATCTGGAATAGGAAACAACACCCAAAGATGACAAGTTGCTATTGACCCAATATGCAAAGTATGAGATAAAGAGAAGAAGAAGAAGGTAGACAACATTCTCTGTAAGTGGATCATTGATACTTCTGTAAGTCATAATATAGGTATCTGTTTGAGAATCATACTTAGGGGCCGTTTACTTAATTGCTTACCCAATAAGCACTTACCATTAGAAGTCAACACTATAATTTATTTTACTGGGTAAGAGTAGTTACCCTGACTTACCGAGTAAGATTCTCCATCTTTATCATTGCTCTTACCGGATAAGGTTTTTGATCTTTGTCATGTTCATCAGATAAGGAAAATTACCCAGTAAGCACTTACCACGTAAGCGTTTAGTAAATGGCCCTTAAATTGTAGTTTTGAGTGCCAAAGTAGACAAAAACTAGTAGCATTTGTCAATGAGAATGGAGCAGATAAAGCCAAGTAGCAAAAAGCATAAAACCCACAATGGTATTGATAGAGACAATTTTTTTATATGAAAGCTACATCTAGACTTGCATGATAGGTAGAAGACTAGTATTTATAGATCAAATTTCTTCTAGGAATGTCCCAAGAAACCATGGATATCTTGAAAAAGCTGTTCCTATAGATGCTACACAATCCCTTTGCACCGCCATGCCAACTATTCTGAGGCAGGGTGTAAAGAACTCGAACTTTTAACGAGCTACTCGAGCTCGAGTTGTTCTCAAACATAAAATAATCTTTTTGGAGTTTTCTAGAATTTGAAGGCGAGAACTCCTTTCGTTTTCTTTATTTGGTGTAACTACAAATAGTTCATGGGAGAAAATCGAGTTATTTGGGCCTTGGTTATATTATATGGCAATTTCTGTATTTTAAATTTCTATGGAAGTCGAATACAAACTGTGGTTCTAGAGAAAGAGCATTATACAAGATACTTGGATGAAATATTGTACTGTGATTCGAAATATAGTTTAGAAAGATTTTTATCTTATTTCCTATTTTGATTGTAGTGAAATCTTGCTTAAGAATATAGCAAGTTACAAATTGTAGTTTGTTTTTTCCTTCCCTTCTTCGTTTCGGATTGAAAGAGAAGTGCTTGATTCTTGCAAATCACTTTCATATCTAGAACTAGATATTGTAAGGGATCGTAACCTAATAAGGTATTTCGCCTGGAAAAGAGCTAGAATCGGGAAATGGGGCGAACCGGATTTTTCGCAGCTATCCAAGAGATTCAAATAGATTATATCTTGTAATTTTTTGGAAGCTTCTTTTTATACTTTTTGTACTCCTTAATGACAAAATAATTGGATATCTTAAGGACCTCTTAAAGCGTTCATGAGATCATTATGAATATACAAACCAAAATGGTGAAAGCTTATAAATGTATAACAGGTTCTGTCGTTCTTCCCGTTTCTTACTTTATGGTTAGGTCCCAATTCTACAATGGAGCTATTAGTTCTCGAGTCATTATTCTTATTCTTTATTGGCTTGAAACCACCCATAAAGAGATTCCTCATGTATCATCTGTAGCAAAATTATGAACGGAGCTAGCAAACTGGATTGTATTGAAGAGGTTCTTGAGACACCTGTTTCAGCTACGTATGTAAGATATTTTAAGATTGTGAATCACTTTCTTAGTAGTGGGGTCGGGGGAAATAATAGGAAAGGTGATTTCACTATATTTCTGACTAGGAACAGAGACTTCGACCAGTTTCTTTCATCAATCTCCTGGCCCTTGCTTAACTCCTTGTTCCGTAAACCGGTCGCTGGTTGATTTGATCGAACCCTGGACATGTGAGAACCCAGCCCGAGAGGAATGCATGGTTCCCCGACACTTCATGTGACGGACTTTCGCAGCCCCCCTCCGTCTAATCTAAGCCTACCTCGCTCACCCAGGCCTGTCGACACATTAATGGAATGATGGAGCTAATCTGCTTGCTTGTGCAGGCGATGACCGCTCGGCTAGGGCGCGACAGAGGAGCTTCGAGTGACGGGCTGCCGAAGAGCAAAGAAAAAAGTCACTTGAAGCTCTGCCTTTTGCTTTGCCAAGTCTTGTCTTCCTCCAGTTGCCCCCACCCAATAGGCCTCCTGTCAATTGCCCTTCTCGTTCTCATCAAACAAAAGACGATCTCTTTTTGCCGGCAAGCTAGCCTCGCCTATCTCATCTATGGGATTTCTATTCGCTCGTGCGCGAGATCAGATCAACTACTCTACTACTATCATGCTGAATTTCTTCAATAGGACATAAAATGTTAGCTAATGCCTTATGTTGGGGGTTATCCACCTACCCTTAGTATTGAAATGGGTTCTTTACAAGAAAGAATTACTTCTACCAAATAAGGATTCATAATTCTATTCAAGTTGTTTATGTACCTATAGATGATTTGAGCGATCTTGCTCCTGCTATGATATTTGCACATTTAGATGCTACTACCATATTATCAGAGGATTAATAGCCAAAGGTATCTATCAAGGAGTATATCTTTTAGATTCAACGTCAACTATGCTACAACCCTGGATCATTGCTAAAGAACATTATGGAACTCATCAAAGGGCCTTTGGCCTAGCGGTATCTTAGCATTTGGTCTCCTAGAAGGTCAGATGTTCAAACCTAACCAAAGGTAAAGAGGGTGTGTGAGTTTATTTGTTGCATTTGCCGTATATAAATATTATATACTTGAAAAAACATTATGAAACTGCAAAACATGTTAAGCAAACTTTACGACGTTACAAAGAACTTCAAGATATTATAGCTATTCTTTGTTTCCCGTATTTCAAATACTTCGAACAGTACCCAAGTAAATTATTCGGTGTTCTTTTAATGGTTTCAGTACTTGCAGATTATTAACAAATACATTTTTTTAGAAATGTTAATAAATTCCAAAATCCATTTAATGAGTCGAGTCCCGAAACGCCGATGTTCAACTCGACTCGTTTGAAAACTCGATTAAAATTTACAAGCCGATACAAGTTGAGTCATTCAAGCACACAATTTTTCGAGTCACACTAATATTTATAGAGGTTGGTTCAAATACTAACCAAAACTATTGTGCAAACTATGCTAACCAATATTAACCAATCATGTTCCATCTTTTAGTTAGGTTCAAATGTAACTCACAAATTAATTGTAAGGGTATTTAGGTAATTTATCATTCTTATGTAACTCCCAAATATTTTAATTGAGAGTTACAAATCTTAAAATATCATTAATTGATCTTCATGTAATAATGACATGAAGTTTCACATGTGTTCATCTACTGAATTTTACATTTATTTTTCTTATAATGGTTTTGATATTGTAAATTTGAAAAAAAATCCCTTTTGTAAAGATTCCGTTATATTCCGAGTAATATGGATAATCATATTGTAAAACGGATCGACGACAATGAGAATGAAAAAGCTAAAAGCGTCTACGAATACATTCGGAATTCGAATCCCGAAAGTGAAGAAAATGATCAAATAGTGTCCCAATATGAACATACGATAGCTATGAACACGCTAATATGAACACGCCTGCCTACATTAAAGATTTGAGTTCGGAATGGCAAACAATATACATTCTTCACTAAGTTTTGAATTTCAGTAAATCCACATCCTTGTTGCTCTTTTTAATTATCTACTTTGTGTAATAATAGTTTTAGTTTTGAAGACTAACTACATAAGGGTTGTTTATTATGTTCATTAAAGATTTGACTTCGGGATAACAAACAATATACATTCTTCACTAAGTTTTCAATTTTAGTAAATTCACATTCTTGTTGCTCTTTTTAATTATCTACTTTGTGTAATAATAGTTTTAGTTTTGTTACTGTTTTATGTCATATAGCACAAATCATATCATGTTTATATAGGGGTTGTTCATTATGTTCACTGTGCTATATTACTTGATCACACACATAGCAATTACATTTTTCATACTAGGATGCATTAAGACATTTGTGCACAGACACACATATATTAACATATATCAAACCAGCACAAATAACACAGACGTAGACGTTGGGATTCGTTACTGTTTTATGTCATATTGCTGATGTTCATTAGGTTCACAAATCCAAACTTGTATGTATTTGTGAAGTGTTGCGTGTGTGTGATGTTCATTAGGTTCACAAATCCAAACTTGTATGTATTTGTGAAGTGTTGCGTGTGTGTGATGTTCATTAGGTTCACAAATCCGAACTTGTATGCATTTCGTCAAAATCATCCATCATTTTGATGAATATTATGAACCAGATTTTTCGCTAATGATATACACTATTGATCGTATAGATTGGCAGTTTCGTAGTTGATTGGAGGTTACGAAATCATTTGAATAATATAGGTTCACGATGTGATACGATTTTTTTTGCAAAATTACCCTTTGAACAGTTGTTCATAGAGATCTCATTTAATACATTAATTAAATGATTATTTTTGTAGTCTCATTTAATAAAGACCGTTTGATGAGAAAATAAACGATCAAGATCGGTTAGCATGGTTTGCACAATAGTTTGGGTTAGTATTTGAACCAGCCCCTTTATTTATATGTTTATAAATTGCATAATTAAAATATAAAATCATAGAGTTTGAGCAAATAAATAAGTTAATTAATCTCAAGTTTGAGCTTGTAAAAAAGCATTGGGTTCGAACTCAAACATTGAAAAAAATATACGAGCTTAAGCTTGAGCCTAACTTTAAAAAAGTTATTCAAAATTATCTTTTAAACTGAACTACTACTCGACTTAGGGGGTGTTTGGGATTGCTTATTTAAAACAACTTATGCTTTTTTGTAAAAGTGCTTATTAACTTATGTGGTATCAAATCAGAGTTAAATAAAACAGGGTTAAAATTGTAAACTGGTAATAAGCAGTTTTTCATAAGTCAGGAATGATTGACTTATCAAAAACAACTTATTACCGGTTTGACATCGGTATAAGCAGTTCTTTTTTCTTATCCAAACACCAGAAAATAACTTATCACCAATGTCAGACTGAAATAAGTTAAAAAACAATTTTTATAAGCAATCCCAAACACAAAATTAATTGAATCAGTTCAAAGATTTGAGTGAATCTATTGGGCCATGAGTCCTGTACCCCTTGGTGCTCAAGTGAATTTATTAATTAATTAATACCTAATTAATCAATATTTTAATTATTAACTTTTTATCTAAAATATGTTTAGGTTTTTGTCATTTAATTGCTATTAATAATAATTCTTATTTAGGGAGTGTTTGGGATTGCTTATTTAAAATAACTTATGTTTTTAAAAAAAAAATGTTTTTCAACTTATCTGGTGTTAAATCGAAGTTTTATAAAAAATGTTTGAATTAGCTTATGGCGGTACCAAAACGTAATAAGTTGATAAGTTGTCTTTAGTATTTGACAAATTTTTTCTTATAAATGTAAAATGACCAAAAGAACCTTATGAAATCGAATCAAACAGGAATCATCTCCATTTTTCCCATTTTTGTGAAATCGAACCAAATAGGGACCACCTCCATGGAAGTCGACTTCTGTTTGATTCGATTTCATAAGGTGGATGTCGATGTCGATTGAAGGTCGGTTTTTGATTTTGCAGTGAAGGTCGCTCCAATTTGAAGAGTAATTTAGATTTAGAGTTAAAAAGATAAATTAGTTTCCAAAGCTAATAAGTTGAATCTGATAAGTTAGACAAAAACTTCTCATTACTAGTTTGACACCGATATAAGTAGTTTTTTTTTTTTCTTTCCATCCAAACACTAAAACTTACTTATATTGATACCACACTGAAATAAATCAATAATCACTTATTACTATTATAAATAACTAGGTTCGATCGGGGTAATTTGAAAAAAATAAATCATGTCAGGAACTTATCTTACAGATATGAATGATCATCGAAAGTACGATGCTACTTCAAACTTGTACTCTTGAAATAACTCTTAACTATAACTCTGAAGAATGACTCTTCAGACTTGAATTTAGAAATGAAACTATATCAATAATTAGTTAAAATGAATTTAACCTTATAATAAAATTTAATTTATAAATGAAACTATAACAGTAAATTGAATTTAAACTTAAAAGTAAATTTAGAATGACTCTTAAGACTTGTACTCTTGAAATAATTCTGAAGTATAACTCTAAAGAATGACTTCAAACTTGTACTCTTGAAATAACTCAGAAGTAAAACTCTTCAGACTTCAGAGCTCTGTAGAGGCAAGCCAGAAGCTCTGCATGCACAATGCAAAGGCTCTGCATGCACAATGAAGAGGCTCTGCATGCACTATGCAAAGGCTCTGCATGGTACTCCGTCTGGAAAAGAAGACTTTAGAGTTCGAGTGAACTAACTCTGAAAAATGACTTTTCAGACTTGTACATTGGAAATAACTCTGAAGTAAAACTCTGAAGAATGACTCTTCAGACTAGTATTATTGAAATAACTCTGAAGTAAAATTCTTCAGACTTCAGAGCTCTGTATAAGCAAGCCAGAAGCTCTGCATAGGCAAGCCAAAAGCTCTGCATACACTATATAGAGGCTTTGCATGGTGCTCCTTCTGGAAAAGAAGACTACAAAGTTCGGGTGAGCTAACTCTGAAGAATGACTTTTCATACTTGTACTCTGGAAACAATTTTGAAATAAAACTATGAAGAATAATTTTTCAGACTTGTACTCTTGAAATAACTCTGAAGTATAAAATCAATCCCATTAAATCAGAGTTCAGACTTCAGAGTTCTGGTGAGCTAAGTCTGAAAAAGAAGACTTCAAATTTCGGATGAGCTAACTCTGAAGAATGACTCTTCAGAATTGTAGAAGACTTCAGAGTTCAGATTTTTTAGTCTGAAAAAGAAGACTTCAGACTTCTTTTTCTAAGTCTATAAAAAAGACTTATTCAGACTTGTAAATCTGAAAAAGAAGACTTCAGAGTTCAGATTTTTAAGTCTGAAAAAGAAGACTTCAAACTTCTTTTTCTAAGTCTAAAAAAAAGACTTATTCAGACTTATAAATCTGAAAAAGAAGACTTCAGAGTTCGGGTGAGCTATGTCTGTAAAAGGAAACTTCAGAGTTCGGGTGAGTTAACTCTGAAGAATGACTTCAGACTTGTTCTCTTGAAATAACTTTGAAATAAAACTTTTTAGTAAATTGAATTTAGAATAAAATTGAATTTAGAAATGAAACTATATCAGTAAATTGAATTTAAACTTAGAAGTAAACACCATTTTTTTCGGGAATCAATTACCACATGAATTAATTAATCCAAAAATAAAATCAATTATATTATAAATTAGTGAGATTGATTGAATAAGATGACACATGTCAATCAAATGTATATAGTTGAACTGTTAATGTAAATTGTATCTAGATATGTTTAAATGAGTCTAATTAAACCACCAATGTAAAATATGTCTAGATACATGTTTAGGTGGGAAAACAAGAAGACCGACTTACCAGAAGATGACACATATCATCAGGGGAGGATGCAATGTTAAAATGGAGGGGGAAAGGGACCCAGCCAAAAATAAATAAAAAATCTATAGGTGGTAATTAGGTTAAAAATACTAAAAAGAACATTTTTTCACGCTCCCAACCTCAATCGTAACCGTTACTTTAACCAAAAAAATCTGTTGAAATCAATTAAAAAACTCAAAAAAGTTATTCGAAATCGACAAAAACACTAAAAAATCACTCGAAATCAACCAAAAAACTTTAAAATTCCCTCGAAAACGTGATAATTAAGTAAAAACATATCGGATGATTTTACAGATCTTTACTCTTTACTCTACCTCAAAAGTAATCCCGTTGAACAAAAATCTTAAATCCACCACTAAAAATCATCCAAATTACTTATTTATCTTTTAAGTATAGATAAGTGATGTTTTTATTTTCCGTTTATTTTGTTGCAGGATGATATCTTATGGATCAAGTTATCGTATGTCCCAAGGAAGGAGGAAAAACCGTGGCATTTCATCATCTGAAACGTGTCATCACACACAACATCTGTCTGCCACGTACTTGGCCACCCATCCCCTATATATTCTCTTCATCATCCCACGTTCTACATAACAACTCTTCTTATACATCTAGACTTGAATACATCACATATTCACATTCAGCCGATATTCTATAGTATATCTTCGATGATGGGGGGTTTAAGATTCGATAAGAGGAGCGTCGTCATTAGCATGGCGGTTGTGGTGGTGGTGGTGCTGCTGCTGCTGCAATCACCCATCTGCAATGGTCATGAGAATGTCAAATACGAGGAAGCGAAAGCCAAGGCAGCAGAAGCAGGCCACGAAGCAGCCGAGGCTGGTAAAGAAGCCAAAGACTCGTGGACTGGTTGGGCCAAAGACAAAATCTCCGAGGGTCTTGGACTTCGTACTGAAGAAGCCAAAGATAAGATCACTGGTACTCCTTTCTTACTTCCCATTATTCCTTTTCTTCAAACTTCTTCATTAATCCATATATATATATATATATTAATCTATGTATATATATATATATATATATATATAGATATGTATGCATGTATAACCATTAATTAGAAAGAGAACTAATGCTAAGCATTACATGAACACAGGAACCGGAGAATATGCTGCTGAGGAGACGAAAAACAAAGCCTCCCAGACAAAGAACTCTGCGGAGGATAAGGCACAAAGGCTGAAAGAAGGAGCCGGATCCATCTTGGAGAATGTCAAAGAAGGTGCGAGAGAGGGTGCAGGTTACGTGGAGGACAAGGCGCAGGGTGCGAAAGAGGGTGCTGGATCCATCAAGGACTCGGCCTACGAGAAGGCGCAGGGTGCGAAAGAGGGCGCCTACGAGAAGGCGCAGGGCGCCAAAGAGAGTGCTGGA